AAAAACAGTCAATTTAGGCTGCTCTTCAGTGACAGTGTTAGTGACAGGTGAAACAGAAAGACCAATTTACAGATGTGTACACTAGAAGTCCTTCTAAAAAAGAGTGCGACTGCATACCTAGGTTGTTTGAAGGGCAGGAGGAATGTTGCCTATACCTCACTGGCTTATCAGAGCACCTGAAATGTTCTCAGTCAGAAAAATCTTGAAACTTTAGGTTAGGATTTCATATTTACGAGATTCTCCATGTTAAAATGAAAATAGTCAGAGAAACATAATAGACTAGGTCTCTGATACATCCAATTGTTTTCCATTATAATACAAAGCTGACAACAGAGCCCTGGCAGGAATAGGACAGATAAGTACTGCTGAATAAGGAGCAGAAGAAAAATACGTTTTACAAAGAATTGCCTAATGGGTTATGTATGAGTTAATTCCTGCTCTGGGTAATACTGGGGATACAGAGAAGGATATGAAATCCCTAAGCCCTGGGGAAAATGGAAGAAGAGGAAACAGAGAGAAAGACTGAAAAAGAAGAGCAGCTCAAAAACAACTATTTCACAATCTGTTGGTAGGCTAGCTGGATGGTCAACTTCCCCACGGCATAGTCCAAGAGCAGCAGCAATCCTGAATATGCAGCGATATGAGGCAATACTGAATATCAGGTTCTATCTTTGGCTATCAGAAAGTCTGGGGAAAACAGGAAAATAATCTCTTAGACCAGTACTTGCTAATGGAATGTAGCACATATATCAAGATAGGAGACTTCTAAACCTTCCTGTCTCTCCACTCATATTGCTTATTCCACCCAAACCAGGTGGAAAATTAGTGGGGGAGGGGAGATATGCAGAATAAAAAGTAGGCCTGCATAGTTTGAAAAAGCCCCTCAGACGATTCGACATATATTTTTCCCCTATAATGACAAGCTCCTTCCTCCACGTAAGTTTAATTAGACTCCAGTTCCACTAAAATGATAAGCAGATCCATCATACTTTCAGTCCAAAGCAGTTGTTAAAATTATGTGATTTTTATTGCCACCTAGTGGAAGAGATAGAAAACCACAAGTTAAACAGAATAAGTAATCTAAAAGTATTAAATGTTGTTTTCCATACTCTGACAGCTAAAGACAGTTTCTCAAAGTATGGTAATATGTAAGATGATTCTAAGTAGCACAAGGATAAATGCTATTCAAACTAGTTGGTATTTAATGCAATGCATATTAGAAAAAAGCATAAACAACACTTCAAATCCACCATTTTATAAATATGTGTTAAGGCTAAATTAACCCTAATTTTAAAAAGTAAATAGATTTTTAAAGAAACATTCACTTATATTATATAGGTACTATTGAAGATATTACTAAAGACATAAGGTAACTCTAAAATAACTGCAGTTTTGGAAATAGTTGTCCTAATCTGGTTCTTCAAATGGAAGATAATTTTCCCTCAGTATAGATGAGTTTTCTTTATGTATATAAAGTGAAGTAATCCATATTTTAATAGAAACAACCATATTTTAAGGTACTCACATTTTTTTCTCATCAAATAGCTTGTTTACTTAAACAGAAATTATTCCACAATCAAATTAGCATTTAGAATGGCTAAGTCTCTGTATTTGCCTTCCTTAAAACATGCTTACCTAGGTAGTTATGCCATGATTGTAAATAGTTGATACCCTCTCATTTAGACAAGTTTCATTATAGAAAATATGTTGCCATTTAATCTACCCAGTTAAACAAATTTACAGAGAGCTGTTTGAACTCCTGCCAACTTATTGTAATGGAATGCACTTCAATGACCTATGTTCTGCTGTCACAGTGGTCAATTCTTTATCATAGAATTTAGAAGTTTCAAGAAAACCCTGAGCATTCAAGTCAGCGTTCATTAGTGCTTATATTTACTGATATTGGAATATATAAGTGAGAATCGAAAGACTTATCTTTTCTGATGGCCAATATAAATGACAATAATAAATTTCTCATTTCCACCTCTAGTTGCAAGAAAGACTAAAAACTTATGTGGAAATGAAAATAAGATTATCAAGATTACCTTAAACCAACCATCTTTTATCTCTTGGATGAAGACCGATTGTGACTCTTAAAAAAATTAGGATTCTGTTGACATTAAGGAATAGTTAGGGTTACTGAATGATTGTTGGGTGTCTACCTAACAGTATCTGCCACACCATCCTTTCTGAAGCACTCAGTTTCCCTCTGAGGGAGCAACCATCTTATAGTTTCCTATTTACTAGCCCAAACTTCATTTATACATATTATATTATATTTATCTATTTTTACCCAAATGGTAGCATACTATACATACTGCTCTGTACTTCAATTTTTCACTTAACAAAATAAGTTCAAGACTTGTTCCATTTTGATATGTAATAAAGCCACTTCCTTCTTTTTAATAGAGGAAAAATATTCCATTGTACAAATGTTCCACAACTTATTTATCCAGTCCTGTAAGAAAAGAAATTTTGATTGCTTTTAATCTGTACTATTATAAAAAATACTGCGTTACAAAACCTTGTACACATATCATTTTTGACTATGTGAATTAACGCTTAGAAGTGAAATTACCAATCCATATAAACTGTGGAATAAGCTACTGGCATTTTGTGGGAAAAATCACATTAAATTTACGGATTAAAATTTGAAGACTATAACATCTTTAGAGTCTTCCCAATGAGAGCAGAATATGCCTCGTTTTATTCTTTTTATTACATCACATTTTACTGATTCTAATATACACATTTAAACACTTCTAAGTAAGGTTGAATCTCATAATCTAGAACACTTTATAATCACTTCGAGGGCCAGGCATGGTGACTCATGCCTGTAATCTCAACACTGAGAGGCCAAGGCGGGAGGGCTTTTTGAGCCCAGGAGTTCAAGACCAGCCTAGGCAATAAAGTGAGATGCCATCCCTGCCAAAAATAAATTTTAAAAATCAGCCAGGTGCAGTGGTGTGCGCCTATAGTCCCAGCTTCTTGGGAGGCTGAGGTGGACGAATTGCTTGAGCCAAGGAGTTCAAGACCAGCCCTGGTAACACAGGAAGATTGCTTCTCTACAAAATAAAATTAACAAAAATTATCTGGGCACAGTGGCATGCACCTGTAGTCCCAGCTACTCAGGAGGCTGAAGTGGGAGGATCACTTGAGCCCAGGAGATCAAGGCTGCAGTGAGCCATGATTGTACTACCACAATCCAGTGCGGGCTACAGAGCAAGACCCTGTCTCAAAAAAAAAAAAAAAAAATCACTGTCAGCAAGTGACAATATGATAGTAGTTATTCCTGGTGGCATGACAGGTAACTGCCATCCCTGGCCACGTCACACAAACCATTTAAGGACCATTTGAGGAAGGCAGATGAGTTACGTTGTTGTTAGAAAACCTTTTGCGACATCTTCTGGTAGGATCAGGAAAGTGCAAGCACCAAAACAAGTGTCACTGACCTGGAAGAAAATCTTTTCTTTTTCTTTTTCTTTTTTTTTTTTGAGACAGAATCTCGCTTTGTCACCTAGGCTGGAGTGCAGTGGTGTGATCTTGGCTCACTGCAGCCTCCACCACCCGGGATCAAGTGATTCTCCTGCCTCAGCCTCCTGAGTAGCTGGGATTACAGGTGCATGCCAACATGCCTGGCTTATTTAATTTGTATTTTTAGTAGAGATGAATTTCACCACGTTGGTCATGCTGGTCTCGAACTCCTGACCTCATGATCCGCTTACCTCAGCCCCCCAGAGTATTGGGATTATAGGCATGAGCCACTGCACCTGACAGAAAATCTTTTCAAGAAATGTTACAGCATCAGGGTTCTTAATGGCACTAAGGACAATTCTGTGTGTGTGGGAGGGGGGAACACCTATTTTGATGACTCTGAATCAAAAAATAATTCAGAAGAATCATATTCTAAATGTGAGGTGTCAGTAATCCTTGACTGATATACTTTGTTTCTATTTTCAGTTTGATAATTGCACAAGAAATATAAAGGATAAAATATCACACCAGTTCAAGAGTTCTTTCTTTCTCTCTTTTTTTTTTTGAGACAGAGTCTTGCTCTGTCACCCAGGGTAGAGTGCAGTGGTGCAATCTTAGAATACAAACAAAAACTCTAAGTCCCAGATTATTTCATCAGAGGTATAGGCAGCAGTTTTTCTTAGTGTTATTTTTTTTTTAAATGCAAGTTATAATCAGTAGCATCTCAGATTTGATGAAATACTCTAAATCTTATTTTATGTCAGAAGCATTTTAGTTTCTCTCATTTTACACATTCATGTTAAGACCATTTCTATGTGTTTTATTTTTTCTTCCATTACATTTTCTCATTGGAAGTCTTTTTATTTTTGCCTGTTTTGTAAGCAACTACTTTATTGAATTCTCTTACTGTTTATACAATGAAATAAAATTTAAACTCAAAGTATTTTAAACTATCGGCTGAAATTTTAGCTCAATGAAAGTAAAGATTTTCTATTACTTTTACTCTTCTATCTCAAGTACCTAGCATATTACCTTGTAGAAGGCAGGTAATCAATATGTATTCATTAAATGAATTCTATTAATGTATCTTACTTTGTAATGTTACCCCAACCCTTCCCCCAACAGAGATATTGAGTTTAGTGTAAAGAAGATTGAATATAAACCAGTAGGACTCAAAGTCCTGCTGACAATCATTTAAGGACAACAAACAGTAAGTCAAAAATAACCTGGCATATAAGGAAATAAAGTACTATGAGTGAGAACCAGAAGAAACAAAAGCAGAAACAGACCCACAAGAACTTCAACTATTAAAATCACCAGAATAAAAATATAAAACAATAATGCTTCCTATGTTTAAATAAACAACAAAACAGTATTCCTATTTACTGTTCCCCACATATATACACACAGATCCTGTAAGAAATTGGAATTTTATAATCAAATCTATACATGTTTGGTTATAATTAGATGTATTTTGATCATTAAAGACCCTAATTTGAAATAAGTGTTTTATTTCAAATGCTTACCTTTTGGATCTTAGATCTGATGACTCAAACTGGATATTCATAGGTCCGGGATCTCTTTCATGATCTACCTCAGAGATGAGAAGATGCCTAGAATCACTATTCATATTTGCCATTTTTCTCACACTCTAAGCACTGAAGAAGTTAGTCCTACACAAAGAAGATAAATAATTAATTTAAAAATATTTTATTATCCATAACTAATAAATATTCATGAATAAGAAATTGAAAAAATATGGGAATTTGCTGAAGATATCTTTTTTTTTTTGAGACAGTCTTACTCTGTCACCAGGCTGGAGTGCAGTGGCGCAATCTCGGCTCACTGCAACCTCCACCTCCCGGGTTCCAGCAATTCTCCTGTCTCAGCCACCCAAGTAGCTAGGACTACAGGCATATGCCACCACACCCAGCTAATTTTTGCATTTTTAGTAGAGACAGAGTTTCACTATGTTGGCCAGGATTGTTTTGATCCCTTGACCTCATGATCCACCTGCCTCGGCCTCCCAAAGTACTGGGATTACAGGCTTGAGCCACTGTGCCCAGCTGCTGAAGATACCTTAATGAGGTATATGCCTGAAATATTTATCAGAAACTTGCTAACTTAAAATGGAGTTATTTCTTATTTTTTGGCTTACTAAAAAATAAGTGAGGCAATTCATTTCCAGTAATAAAACAGACTAGGTTATTTGGACTCATTTTTCTGGCAGACAAACTAAAAATACTGAATAAAATATTTTAAAAATCTTTGAAAAGCTTCAAACATAGTGAGGAATATCAGGCCACTTGTAGGTGAAAGAACCAAGAGAGGTAAATGACAAGGAAACTGCTGCTGCCTGGAGGGCATTTGCCGTACCAGAGGAATTGAGGCTGAGGTTTTCAAAGCCTTGTGTAGTATTCCAGGAACAGAAGTCAAAGCTCAGTGTTCATCCAAAGTAAGTAATGATTATAATAAGAAATCATCCCCTTTCCCTACCTCCCCACCATAATACAGCTATAACTATAAAGACCTTTGCTATCAGAGTAGGGACCATGAAGAAGTGTAGTCCATAGTGTGAGCCACTATGGCCTCTGGTCCATTTTAAGACCACAAAGAAGTCTTCTTAAAATGGACCAGAGGCCATAGGGGCTCACACCTGTAATCCCAGCATTTTGAGAGGCTGCGGCAGATTGCTTGAGGCTGGGAGTTTGAGACTAGCCTGGGCAAAATAGCACAACCTCATCTCCACTAAAAAACAGACAAAACTAGCTGGGCATGGTGCACATGCCTGTAGTCTCAGCTACTTTGGAGGATGAGGCGGAAGTGGAGGATTGCTTAAGCCCAGGATTTGGAGGTTACAGTGAGCTACGACTGCACCGTTGCACTCCAGCTACCTGGGTGACAGAGTGAGATCCTGTCTCAAAACAAAACAAACAAACAAAAAAACTCAAATTGGCTGGGCACAGTGGCTCACACCTGTAATCCCAGCACTTTGGGAAGCCGAGGTGGGTAGATCACTTGAGGTCAGGAAATGAAGACCAGCTTGGCCAACATGGTGAAACCCTGTCTCTACTAAAAACACAGAAAAACAGCCGGGCATGTTGGGGTGCTCCTATAATCCCAGTTACTTGTCAGGATGAGGCATGAGAATACCTTGAACCCAGCAGGTCGAGGTTGCAGTGTGCTTGAGATCACGCCACTGTACTCCAGCCTGAGTGACAGAGCAAGACTCCATCTCAAAAAATAAAAATAAAAAAAACCACCCAAAACTACTGACCACAGCATGTGTGTGTATGCACTTTTTTGTTGCCATAAACTGCACCTCATGAGAATTTGCAAGAAACACTTAAAGCTATGAATATAATTTAAGATTAACCTGCTTGGTAGCACTTCTAGGTAACTGACAGAAGCAAATGTAAATCATTCCTGTGAAGACACACCTTCATTGTAGGCCTCAAAGAAGTGCTGCTAACAATCATTTAAGGAGAACAAATAGTAGGTCAAAAATAACCTAGCATATAAGGAAATAAAGTACTATGAGTGGGAACCAGAAGAAATAAAAGCAGAAACAGACCCACAAGAACTTCAACTATAAAAATCACCAGAATAAAAATATAAAACAATAATGCTTCCTATGTTTAAATAAACAAAAAAAAAGTAGAAATTTTCAAAAATGACTTAGTATGTTCAAATAAGGACCAGAATGAATTTTTAGGAAAAAAAAAATTCAAGAACCAAAATTCAACACTCAATGAAGGAGCTTAAAAGTTGAAAAGAAAATTAATGAAGTAGAAGGTAAGTCAGAAAAAACTACCTAGAATGTGGCAGAGAGAGAAAAATAAAGGCAGAAAATGTACAAGGCAATTAAGAAACATGGAGGATAGAATAAGAAGGTCTAACAAGCATGTAATTGGAGAATCAGAAAGAAGAAGACAGAAATAAGATCTGTAGAGATAATTGTTGACCATTAAATATACCAATCTACAGATTCATGAAATTAAAAGAATGTAAGAGAATTGATAAACATTATAGCATTTGAAAAAAAGGAATTAAGGCCAGGCATGGTGGCTCACACCTGTAATTCCAACACTTTGGGAGACCAAGGTGGGGAGATCACTTGAGGTCAGGAGTTTGAGACCCACCTGGCCAACATGGTGAAACCCCATCTCTTCGAAACATACAAAAATTAGCCAGGCATGGTGGTGGGTGCCTGTAATTCCAGCTTCTTGGGAGGCTGGTGAGAGAATTGCTTGAACCAGGGAGGCAGAGGTTGCAGTAAGCCAATATTGTGTCACTGCACTTCCAGCCTGGTTGTCACAGAGTGAGATCCTATCTCGAACAAACAAAACAAAAACAAAACAAAACAAAACAACAAAAAAAAGAACTAAAATGCCAGACCAAATAAAAAAAAAGTCAGATGAAGATCTTTGAAATTAAAACGTCCAAAGGCCCTTATGTTGTCCAGATCAACATTACACATTGATGTTATTTTAAGGCAACTATTAACATAATAGAAAGCAGTGTATAACTTTAAATTTAGTAGAGGGGAAAGAAGAGGGATAAAAAACAACTAAAGGAAGGCAAAAGAGGAGAAAAAGAAAATATAAAATTGGTGGGAAAAAAATAGAAAGCATAAGATAAATAAGATCTTCTTATTCTTTCTTCAGCCCATGCTAATCATGATATCTTTCTTCTACCACTATACAGAAGCTGTTCTTATTGGATCACTAAAGACCTCCACATTGGTAACTCCAAGTGTTATTTCTCAGTCCTTAACTTATTTGACCTATCGGAAATATCTGCCAAAAGGGATCACTTTTTTCCTTGATAAGCTGCATTCACTAGACCTCCAGGTTTTTTCCATACCTCACTGGTCCCTCCTCCTTTTCTGTCTCCTTTGCTGCCTTCTCATCTCTCAGATCCCTTTACAGTTGCAGAGTTCTAAGGTTCAGTCTTGATCTACCTTCAATCTCTTGGTAATTTTATGCAGTCTTATGGTTTTACTTCCATGGCTTGTGTTGTCCAATATAGTAGCCAGTAGTTATATGTGGCTACTTATACTTAAATTAACTAAAATTAAAAAAGTCAGTACCTCAGTCATACTAGCTGCATTTGAAGTGCTCAAAATCCACATGTGGCTAGTGGCTACCCCTTAGACAGTATAGATATAAAACATTTTTCCATCATTGCAGAAAGTTCTATTGATTTAGGCAATGACAACTTCCACATTAATATCT